AACTTAGTAGAAATAACGATTTTCCGTCAAAAAGAGATCCCTGAATTCGCTTTCACAATGATACACGTTGTAGAGCTTTCAATTCTCTACCAAACGTATCACTGTAAAAGCCGATACAAAGTATCGTCTTAACGAAGGGTGCCATGCACTTCGAAATTTGTATGTCAGAAAATTGCACGTTTTCTAGAGCAAAACAATGCAAAGCATAGTTTTCTGCAATCTTCCGAAGCTTCTTCACTTGTAAAATTTACAGCTTAGCCAGAATAAGGATTTGTGGTCTGAAAACTTTTTCATAATCTCAATTTTACGTGTAGAATTCAATGAAGTAATAAAAGTTATAGGTCAATCTTAACCATTTGACAGCGATGCTCGATGAACTGGAGAATTAGTAATTAACAGCCGGTCAAGAGAAACTAAAGTTTGATTAAAGGTTTGAACTGTATCTCACGCGCACCAAACATTAAAAATATCGACGTCATGTTATCGAGCATCGCAAAAACTCATTCTCTTCCTTTTCCAAATAATTCCTTAACCAGTTTGTCTGGCTTTTCAAGAAGTACTACATCATTATCTGAAAACACATTTCAAAATGTAAAACTGTGAAAGTTTCGCAGCACGTAACCTACTCAGATGCACATTTCTCAGTATGTACTTGAGGTTTTGTCTGAAGAATATAGTAGTGTAAAGCTCCGGAGCCCTATTTTATCTAGAGTATAAAGGGGAAAAGACTTTCGCATATAGAAGAAAAAATTCAACCCATGTACGTTCTTTATTCCATTTCAAGGCTTGTTCACTGTCGACTCGGACGTCAGTTGCAATGGCCAGGCCAATGGTGCATACTTATCAAGTCGATACTGCAATGTCTTTCATCAGTGTGTGTCGGGCTCTAGATTTGATTTTCGTTGCCCTCGTGCTAACAACGCTTCATACGATTTATGGTGGAATCAGCAAACTAGCCGATGCGACTGGCCGTGTCGTGTACAGTGCAGCAACCAATTGTTTGGATCGAGTACATCGGCACAGCAAGTTCAAAGTGAAAGCTTAATTTTTTTCAACAACGATTGTCGAGCCTATCCATTTATTTTTAATACTAATAAATAATGAAACTAAATAGAAAAGGTTCACGCCGTCTGTCCGTTGTACGCTGTAAAACGGACCACGGTCTTTTTTTTCGAAAAGTATTTGATTGAGTATTGTTTCTTCAAACGATACCGCTTTGTATCAATGCCTCTCTTTACAGAGCATTCATGTGAGCTATAAAGAGCTTCAGCACGTAGCATTGCTTTACGCACATTTTTTTATTAAAAAAAACTCTCTCCTTCCACCGATGGTCACTCGAAGTTACTAACAAGATTAGTGCCTTACACTTTTGCTTGGTGAGCTGATTACCAAGTCTGTATCAATACCTGTGCCAGTCATGTACAAAATCGTCGCCCGTTCATCATCTTAATGCAACTGCGACTATTGACACTGAGCTCGTTGGTCTCTCTCAACAGCCAAGTCGGATTTCTAGAAACTGAAACGATAGAGACTAATGTAGAAGTTTATTGTGTTTTTTTTCGTAATGTGTTGCGCTTGCTGACAATTCCTGAAAAGTATGGTTAGCTTGCATCAGAAACAAACAATGCAACTCACTATACTCTAAGACCGAAAATTTGACTATCGGAAAATCGCATCATGTGCATTTCTGTTAATTTGTATTGGAACAAAGAAACATTTTACAACCACGATCAATAGCTATGTTTCAGATACATGAATATCTATACTACTGTGTGGCCCTGATAAAACCTGAATGCAGCCGTACCGAAACGAGCGTAAGAAAAACTAGGGTGCATTTAAATTTGGCTTTGCAAAAACACTCTAAACAATCACTTCGACTTCCCTCTCATCCTCGCTTAATACAGTTAGCTACTTCTCCTATGAACATCAGTCATATTAATTAACCCAAAAATATCTCTCTTCTTGATAACTGTTCCAATGTGTGTTAAGGTCAAACTCAGTCTGAACAACGATGTAAATACAGTTCACTAAATATCAGTCATAGAGCGGCAAGAAATAGGAACAGTAAAAAACAACAAGCAAGGACGCTCTCAATGACACAGTCTCACACGCGCACATCACATTAGAGAAAACAAAACAAAAAATTGGTCTTAAAAATTAGTGTGAGAATTAGAAATTAACGAAAATTGTGTTGGTCGATGTGGAACTTATGGAATTTAAAATATTTTGTGTAATTCATCGGTGAGCACATCACATTTTACTTCAGTCTAAACGAAACAAAGAGAGAGAGAGAAAAAGAAACAAATAGCTGGTCTTTAGTAAAAATCATGGTGTAAGCTCGTTAGACAAATATCCTTAACAGGAGAAGAACGTGATAGAGTTAAAAACTATGAAGTCTTCTTCTTCACACTGGTCTATGGTACAGCTTTCTGAGCATACTTTATTTGTATTCACTAAAAGGAGCCCTTGCAAGCAAAAAACTTGTAAAGTGAGCAGCAGTTTTTCAAAGTACATTCATTATCAATGACACATTGTAAGTCCGCTGTTTTTTTTCGGTAGATTCATGCAAAGCAGGTGCAGGCATGAAATTTCCTAAATCTAATTAGTTCCCATATGAGAAAAATTTAGCCTTCTAGTACAGATGAATCTCCTCACATAAAATAAATTCGTTCTGCATTTCAGTTGTTCGAAGCGCTGTCACAAAGTGAACACTTGTCTCTATCAACTTTTTTTAAAAACTGACTTCAGCTCTCACAAAGTCGATGCCTACAACAACTTCATTTCTGCAAAAACGAGACGGCTGCTCTCAGTACTTTACCAAGTTAAACTCTTCAAACAAAACTGCTGCCTTTTCCGTAAGTTTCTATTTTGCCCAGTAATTCCACCACCTGTCCATATTGGTCGTTCATATACCAACTTTCCACCAATCAAAGATTTCCAAAAAAAAATTTAAAAAAATATTGCATTGGTCAAAAAGTAGTGTCCATATCAAAAGTATCTAGTCCCACAAATTTCGAGATGTCGAGTGCACAGTTGTTTCAGTTAATGGAGAATTGTTGGACGCACAAAAGTGTGTATCGTTAATTTGAGCTTTTTTCATAGGCTGAGATACTTGAAAAATACTGAATACTTTAAAAATTTAGCTATTTCAAAATTCCAAAGCTAATTGCAGGAATCGAATCTTGAATAGGCGATAGATACTTTTGCGTAGAAGCATGTGCTCTTTCAAACAAACAAAAAATAAAATTCTAACAGAATGTGGGGGTGGGGTGTAGGTGCGTCTATTGATCTTTCATACACGCACACCTCAAAATGTTGTCTTATTTTCATCCGCTTTCTTTATTCTTCAACAACTTTTTCTTTTTTTTTCTTGCCGTAGTCAGTGTTTAGCGAAAGAATTCTTTTATTTGCATCTTTCTACAGGTGGATGTCTTAAGCATATAATTTTCAATTCACCTTTCCACCACGCGTCGCATTGTTCGTGTCTTGTTTATCAAACGCTGAAACTAGACAGTAAGTAGAAGACTGGGTAAGTATGCTCTTCGCCGAAAGTCACATGGCTAAAATACAAATTGTCGAAATTCGGCGATCTGACAATCGGCAATGTATCGTTTCGATCATATGACTTTCGATGATGTCGCTTTCGGCGATGTGGTCATCGGCAATGTTTTTTTTTCGGCTATGATATACATAATCGTTAAGTCCAGCTGCCTAGGTTGAGTTAGGAACCAAGTTAGGAATCTATTTCAAAACTCGGTTGCAATTCATGATATTAATGACGTAGTTAAATAGCCGCCTCTGTATACAGCTTATATCGAATGAGTGAACGAAAATATTGATCGCGTAACCAAGGATAATTTATAAGGATCATCGAAAAACACTCGGCGATCTTCATTTCGACAATGGGAGTTTCGGTGTCAGTTTCGGCTATCGCACGTGTCGGTGATCTCGTTTTCGGTGATATGCATTACATTCGCAGACTGATTAGAAGATGAACGATGCAAATTGATTTCTAGGTTGCGAGATGGCATCAACTAGACAACAAAAACCTTGTGTTGGATGTCAAAATGGAGTAGTTACATGTACTGGATGTGAAAAGCGCTTCTGTTTTTCTCATTTTACAGAACATCGACAAGAACTTGAGAAACGAATGGATGAAGTTGTTCACGAGCATAATCAGTTGCGAGACGCTCTCAATCCGCAAGGTACTGCACATTACCTTCTGTCTCGAATTGATAAATGGGAACAAACATCAATTCAGAAGATTAAAGATACGGCTGAGCAAGCTCGAACAGATCTACAAGCATGCCTTGATCGTACGAAGCATCGGCTGACAGATTCACTTGGCAGCATGACTGAACAATTGAAATCAAGACAAGCATCAACTGCCTACACCGAAAAAGAACTCGACGGATGATTGAGACAGTTGGATCAACTGCGACAGATGCTTGAGAAACCACCGAATATCGACATTTCAGAGGATAAGACAATATGTTCGTCTATTTGTATGATCAAAGTGACAGAGAAGTCTAATAGTGAAATGAGTCGCATGGGTAAAGAAATGACTGCACAGCCCAGGCCACCATCAGTAGTGGTCCCGGAACGTAAGTGAATTTCTTATTTGGTTCTTCATATCTCCATGAAATATGTTATAAACTTAGAAACCCTCTGGATGAGACATTGCGAAGAAAAATCATATGGGATAGTTTTCCATCGTACTTACTAGATATGGGTTATCTACATTCCAGGGTTTGACGCTACTTATTGCAACTTAGCACGTTAAATGAAGCGTAACGACTGACAGCTAATACGAGCGGCAAGATTTTGCTACTCGAACGCAGGAGAATATTTTTAGGCTTTTATTTCTATAGACGTGTAAGTAGGGTTTTGATCAAGCTGAGAACAAGCAATTTAGTCAGTGTCAGAAACACATCTGATTGATCCCAACTATATTCTTTTGCGAATCAAAAACCATCGAAACAATCGATATGAGACAAGTTGCTGACTCAATATAAATAGAAAAGAGCTTAAATAAAATTAGTTTTCTCTTTATAGTTCTTGAGATATAATAGAAGATGTGCAGATTGAAATAGATTCTCTTCAGAGCGTAGATGTGTATTTGGATTAAGTGAAGTTCAACAGTGACACCCACAACTACATTCGACGCTCTTTTGTCAATCCAATCTATACTTTTTTTCTTCATTTGTTTAGACCGAACCGAGAAGAACACTCCTAAGTCATCAAAACAAAAACACTTTGTTTGCCAATCTGACGGTTCCTGCCATTCAATATTTTTGGCAACCATGTCTGCAACGCAATAGATGATACTTGTGCCACAAATTTACGGAATATTCGATTCGAATTATTGTTACAATTGAACATATTCCTCTATTGTCATATCGAAAGTTTCATTAAATATGTAAGTATATAACATATACAAAACGATGACTACCGAAAAGATCTTTCGATGCACTGAGCTCTAGTCAGGTACTACGCAGTTGTTATAGAAGAGCCGAATCAAACTTTGAGGATCGATAAATCTGCGAAGTTTACAAATAACAACGCGAAACAATTTCATTATTCACTTGCAATGTAATAGTCGATAATGTTACTAACAGTCAAGCTTGGTTTCGAACTGAATACGATCTATGAACAAGAAAATTGTGAGTATGATTGACTTGCGATCTGATTACCAAAGATGTTACCAATAGTGAAGCTTGGTTTCGAAGTGAGCACCATAGTTGAACAGAGTCATAATGAGAATGATTCACTTGCCATGTGATGGTCGATGATCTCACTAACAATGAAGCTTGACTTCGAAGCGAGCACCATAATTGAACATAGTCATGGTGAGAATGGTTCAATGGCAATTTGATGGTCAATGATGTGATCAGCAACGAAGCTTGGCTTCGTAATGAGCACCGTATTTGAACAGAGTGTTAGTGAGAATGATTTATTTGTGATGTGACGACTGATAATGCAACCAACAGTCAGTCTTGGCTTCGAAATGAGCACCATAGTTGAACAGGGTGATAGTGAGAATGATTCATTCGTGATGCAACAGATGATAATATCACTAACAGTCAATTTTGGCTTGGAAGTGAACACCTTAGTTGAACAAAGTGATCCTCAGAACGATTCATTTGTAATGTGATGGTCGATGGTGTCACCAACAGCCAAGCTTGGCTTCAAAGTGAGCTTCATGGTTGATTAGACTTGTACTGAGAATGATACATGTATGGTGTGATAGTTGATATTGCCATCAATAGCCAAGCTTGACTTCTAAGTGAGCTTCATGGTTGATTAGACTTGTATTGAAAATGATACATTTATGGTGTGATAGTTGATATTGCTACCAATAGCCAAGCTTGACTTCTAAGTGTACACTGCAATGGAACAGAATGGTACTGAGAATGGTGCATCTGTAACGCAATAGTCAATGATAAAATCAACAGCGAAGCTTGGTTTCTAAATGTACACCATAGTTGAATAGAATAATCGTTGAAAGGATTTATTTGCAATGCAATTGTTGACGATGTTTCTAAAAGTCAAGCTTGGCTTCTAATTGAGTGCGATGTTTGAAAAAGAAAATTGTGTATAGGATTCATTTATGATGCGGTGATCCATGATGTCAGCAACAGACAAATGTGGCTTCAAAATTTATGCCATAGTTGAACAGATTGTTCATGAAAATCATTCATTTGTCATGTAATACCAATGATCCCACCAACAGCTAAGCTTCGCTTCGAAGTAATCATTTTGGTTGAACAGAATACTGCATGAATGATTCATTTGTCATGTAATGCCTATGATATCACCAACAGCTAGCTTCGCTTGGAAGTGAGCACCTTACTTGAACAGAGTGCTGGTTAAAATGATTCATTTGTGATGTTATGGTTGATAATATGACCAGGAACCAAGCTTGGTTTCAAAGCGAGCCCCCTAGTTGAACCCAGCGCTGATGAAAATACTTCATCTGCTATGTGATCGTTGATCATGTCACCAACAGCCGAGCTTGGCTTTAAAGTGAGCACCATAGCCAAACAGCATCCTACTGAGAATGATTCATTTGTGATATGATTGTCGATCATGTCAAGAACAGCCAAGTGTGGCTTCAAACTGAGCACTGTGGTTGAAAAGAATGATTATGAGAATGATTCATGTTTGATGGAGCAATTGATGATGTCACCAGCAGTCAAGTTTTGCTTGGACGTGATGAACACCTTAGTTGAACAAAGTAATCCTCGGAATAATTAATTTGTGATGTGATGGTCGATGATGTCATCAAAATGAAAGCTTATCTTTGAAAGGAGTGTCAAAGTTGAACAGATTGGTGTTGAGAGTAGTGCATTTGTGATGTGATGATTAATGGCATCACCAGCAGTCAGGTTGCATTTCAAAGTGAGTACCATGGTTGAACACAACGCTGATGAAAGTTATTTATTTGTAATATTATAATCGTGGTGTCAACAACAGCCAAGCTTGGATTCAAAGTGAGCACCATCGTTGAACAGAGGGATTTTCAGAATGATTTATTTGATATATGACAGTCGGTGATGTCGCCAACAGCCAAGCTTGGCACCGAAGTAAGCAATATAGTTAAAGAGAGTGATGCTGATGATGATTCATTTTTGATGGGATGATTGATGAGATTATGAGAAAACAAACTCGATTTGAAAGTGAGCACCATAGTTGAACAGAATGATCTTGAGAACAAACTATTTGTAACGTGATGGTCAATGACGTTATGGATAGTCAAGGCTGGCTACAGATTGAGCACCACTGTTGAACAGAGGGATGTTCAGAATGTTGCGTATGTGATGTGATTGTCGATGGCATCTTCAACAACAAGCTTGCCTTCAAAGAGAACATCATGGTTGAACAGGGTGATGGTGGTTATAGTCCAGTCGTCATGTTATGGTCGGTTACTGTAACAGATTTTGTGGCTCTTACATGGTTTATAGTAGTGGAATATCACAATACATGTGAAAGATGCGGGAATCCATATATTTCGTTTCTGATGTGATGATTGATGATGCATCCAACAATCTAGCTTGCCTTCGAAGTGAGCACCATAATTGAACAGAATGATAATGAGGATAATTTGTGTGGGTCGTGATGGTTGACGAGATTATCAACAGGCAAGTTTGCCCTAAAAGTGAGTAACATAGTTGGACACAGTGTTGGTGAAAATGATTCATTTGTGATGTTACGGTTGATGATATCACTAACAGTCAAACTTGGGTTCCAAGTAAGCACCTTAGTCGAACAGAGTGTTGATGAGAATAATTCATTTGTAATATGATGGTCAACGATATCCGAAAAAGGCAAGCTTGGTTTCAAAGTAATCACCTTAGTTGAATAGAGTGTTGATGAGAATGCTTCATTTGTGATGTGATGGCCAACGATATTTCTAATAGCGAAACTTGAATTCAGAGTGAACATCATAGTTGGACAGAGTGATCGTCGGAATGATTCATTTGTGATGTAATGGTGGATGATGTCACCAACAACCAAGTTTGGCTTGAAAGCAAACACTATAGTTGAACAGAGTGATCGTCGGAATGATTCAGTTGTGATGTGATGATGAATGATGCCACCAACAAACAAGCTTGGCGTCAGAGGGAGCACGATTTCTGATTGAGAGATTAGATGCAAGAAATGCCGCCATGGCAAGGATTCATGAATCCAGTCGTCGCTAACACGCTGTGCTGTTTAGCAACACTTCCGGAAGAAACGAAATTATCGAAATGAAAGTTTTGTATTGCTACGACTGTTGTTTTACGTATTATTATTCTATGACTCTATCAGGAAGAATAGTGCTGATGCCACATTGATGACTCGTGGCTTAAACAATATCAGAACAAACGGTTCAGTGACAATTAATTGTAGGAAGTGAAAATAAATGAAACTATAGTATTTTTGAAGAATTTCTAAACTGACAAGGGAAGTATTCCAACCGTTTAAAAGTTTTTGACTCCATCTTTTGGCTATAAGCAAGTTTCAGTGAGACTAAGACAACCCTAAAAGCGTTCGTACCCATAGTTCTTCCCTCCCGAGATACAATCAAACGTATAACAAAAAGTTTTCTTATTATTTTGTTTTGAAAAAATGGTTTTCCTGTAGGTCTAAAGATTTCTCACATTAAATATACCAAGAGAATCGATCACAGGGAACTGATATGCTCACGTTTCAATTATCAACTATATCAAACTACGAAGAACTGAAGATTTATTAGTAAAGTATCAAATTAAAACAAATTTCTTTTATATATGAGAAACAAAAAATTATATAATATTTTAGTTAACCTACAAGTGTGGAGAAAGTAGAAACTTATTTAATGATAATGATACTCTGTGTAGAAATGATGAAAACATAATACTCTTCGACACCATGAGCGACATATAAAACTAGGAG